CTCTGTTATGTAGAAAATATTATAATGTTGTTGTTGTAGTTATGTGCCGTTGAGTTGCCTGCGACTCATAGCGACCCTATGTACAACAGCCCTAAACCCTGTTCTATCCTGTGCCAATCTTGTTGTCTCTGATACACTTACCCCAGTCACTGAATGAATCCATCTCATCAAGGGTCTTCCTCTCCTGCTCTGTCCCTCTACCCTTCCAAGCATGGTGTTCTTTCTAAGGATTGGTCCCTCCTTGCAACATGTCCAAAGTATGTCAGACGAAGCCTCAGAATCCTTGCCTCCAAGGAACAGCCTGTTTTAACCCTCTAAAGGATGAACCTGTTCATTTTCTTAGCAGTGTATTCAATACTCTTCTCCAGCACCAATGCTCAAAGGCCTCAATTCTCCTTCTATCCTCCCTAATCTTTGTCCAGCTCAAATTATATACACACACATATAGGGAATTTTGTTGCCCCAATAGTAAGGAGTTGCAATGCCCATACAAAGGCAGGTGGTTTGAATCTACTAGCTGTTCCACAAGAGAAAGATAGACAGTCTTCTTCTGTATAATTTACCACCTCTGAAAACTTACTGGAGGATCATCTGTGAGTCAGTTTCAACTCAACAGCATATTACAACATTAACAATTGGGAGTTCTGGTCACCTAGTGGTAAAGAGTTCTGATACCAACTCAAAGATGAGTGAGTGGTTCAAATTCATCAGCTTCTGTGAGGGAGAAAGATGAACACTCTCCTCCCATGTAATTTGAAGCCCTGAAAATCCACTGGAGTATCAGTTATGAGTCAGTTCCAACTGTAGGCACATAAAAATATACATATACATGCATATGTTATTATTATGTGCCATGACATTGCCTACAACTCATAATGACCTTAAGTTCCATAGCTCTGAAGCCTGCACTCTCCTGAGCCTGTCTCACTGACTCCAACACATGTGTCCACAGTTGCCCCAGTTATTGTATCAATCCATTTCATCCAAGGTTTTCCTCTCCTTCGCTCTCCCTCCACCCTTCTGAACATGATGTCCTTCTCTAAGGATCAGGCTCTCCTGGCCACATGCGCAATGTATGTGAGTTGGAGCTTCAAAATCCTAGCCTCCAAAGAGAAACTTGATTTCACCCTCTGCAAGACAGACCTGCTTCGTTTCTTGGCAATCCATGGTATGCTCAAGACTCTTCTCCAGCATGACAACTCAAAGGCATTGATTCTTCTTCTACCATCCTTAGTCATTGCCCAGCTATCTGACACATAGCAAGTAATTGCAAAGACCATGACCTGGATTAGGTGCACTTAACCTCTAGACTGACTGACACTGTTGCTTTTCAGTGCTCTGGAGAGGTCCCTGACAGAAGATTTTTCCCAATGCAAGCCATCTTTTGATTTCCTGACTGCTGGTGTTAAGAGTATTGATTGTAGGGGGATTGTGTACCAATGAGGGAGTTTTTCTTTTGCTTTTCAAGGAGAGGAGCAAATGGGGGGGGGGGTTTGTGCGGGGAGAAGGGTGCAACAATGAATGAATGGAATCCCAAAATCTCTGTAGATGTTCATTGAAATGAAAAATAAACAACCTAAATTTAAAAAAAAAAAAAGAGTATTGATTGTTTAGGCGAGAAAGCTGTAATTGTTAACAATCTCAATTGCGTCTCCATCTGTTATGCGAATTGTCCCAATAGTGAGAATCTTTGTCTTGTTGATGTTGAGCTTCAATCTGTATTGAAGACTATGGTCCTTGACTTCTGCAGCAAGCACTTCAGGTCATCTTCAGTTTCAGCAAGCCAGGTTATATTATTTGCATAACATAGGTTATTGATGAGTCTTCCTCAGATCCTGATGCCACATTCCTCCTCGTAAAGCCCAGCCTTGCAAATGATCTGTTCTGCATAGAGATTGAAAAGGTATGGAGGCAGGACACATCCCTGACACAACCCAATTTTCTAAAACCCATCCAGTGCTGAGTGGTTGTGTCCAGACTCCAGTTCAGTGTTCTCCCTACCAAGGCCTAAATTCATGATTTTTCTTCCCTTTCTCCTAGTCTGCAAAAACATGTGGGGGGTGAACCAGAGCCTTACATCATTTTAGGGGTGAGAATGGGTCTTTGGAGTACTCAATCACTTATGTCATCCAGCTCAAGATGACTCAGATCCAAGGAGTATGGGCTCCCCACCACCACCACCACCTGCTTGAGAAACTTGAGAATCTCAACGGTCCATTTGTGAGGGCTTGAAAGTGTTGGTCTTATCCCAAGCTCAACAGCTCTTGCACTAGAAAGACCCCTAATGATATTCAGTCCATATTTCCTTTGCAAGTGATCATCTGGACCAAAGTCTCCCTAAATCTCCTCCTTCCAGTTCTTTTTACAGTTCCTGTGTTTTTTCTTCCTTTCCTAGTACTTCCTTGCCATCTCTTCTACCCGTGTTCTCCATGTCTGTAGTTATCTGAGCTCCACATAGTCAATGTCTTGTGTTTTCTACCCATGATTCTGAGGTTGGGGGTGCCTGACTGAATGAGGTTGAGCTTGGGTCCAGGATCCACCAAGGCATGGTGCTCAGGGTGGTACTAGATTTGGGCAAGGCCAGCTATAGTGCAGGCCTGGCCCCTGAACTCACTTGCAGACCTGGCTGGTGTGAATCTGACGGGGTATATCGTGTAGTGGATCCAGTGTGTTCTAGCCCTATCGCACTCCAGCCCAGCATGAAGCACATGCAGGTAGCCAGAGCAAACTTGTATAGCACAAACATTGGTGAGCTCGAGTTTTGCCAGAGTGAACTTACTGAGCACATCCTTAGCTAGCTCTCAGTCCTCACTAGCAAAGGCCTTTTTTGTAAAATTTTGTGGGCAGGAAGCACATCTTAGCTGTTTTTTTTAAATCTAGAGTAGCATTGTCTAACATGAACACCACTATCTCTGAGTACTTGAAATGTAACTAGTCCAAATGGAGATGTGCTATAAAATATAGTGTAATGCAAAGACTTATTACCACAAAGGAAAATAATGTAAATTATCTCTTTAATAATTTTTTCTGTTGAGTTGTTGCATACTCTTGAATCAGAACTGACCCATAGCTGAACCTCCAGTGGGTTTTCAAAGGCAGTTAGTTAATCACACGGGTGGAGAAGGCCAATCTTTGTCCCATGGAGCAGCTGGTGGATTTGAACCACATCCTTTTGGGACTGCAGCTCAGCTTTACCCCTAGGCCACCAGAGCTTCCTGGTAGATGTTGAAATAATATTTTTTGATAATTTGGTTAAATAAAAGAATAATTTCACCTGTTTCTTTTTATAACATTATGGTTCCTAGAAAATGTAGAAAGTACATGTGTGGATCACTTTCCACTTCTATGTTTCAGTGCTGTTTTAAAGCAAGTATTTGGTTAGATCTACAATAAATGTAAAGAAAGAGAAGGAGGAAAAAATAAAAGAAAGGTGTGAGAATATGAAATCAAAGAAGTTTTCATCCCTTCTCCCAAATAAACCATAGAAAGAGAATTGAGTAAGGATTACCCTGCAGTCAGGAGTCTGTCCCTCAGCCTCTTGGGTATTTTTAATACTCAAGGGAAGATATGACAGATCACATATATTTATGCCAAAATGGAGAATATTTCTTTCCATTGGTCAGAATACTTGTATCTGACTGTTGGGTACTCTTTTCTTGGTATCACAGTTGAAATCCCCAAGATATTTCATGGCTGGAAAGTTACCTGGTGAATAAGGACCTGGATCAAAAGCCTGTGAAGATTCTTTGGAGTATTTTGCTAGGCAATAGTGAGAGCCAGTAACGTATTCCTGCACGACAGTAAAGATGAACAGATCCTGTCTCTCTTCCTAATCATTGCCATGTGCAGACTGACACTACTTTTATATGCTAAACATTCCCTTTATTTTGACATATTTCTTGTTATGCTGGCCATGAGTTTGCGAGATGTTCTGCCTTCTTTATTAGATGTTAATTACAATAATCTTATTCATAAGCATGCTAGACATATCCCCTTTTCTAGCAGGTAGATGTCAGATGTTATTCTAGGATTCAGAGAACCTTCCTTGCATTGTGTTCTCTTGTCAGCTACTTAATTGATATTTTTGTTTTAATTTTTATTACATTTTATTAATTTTAATGAACATTTACAGAGATTTTGGATTTCCATTCATTCATTGTTGCACTAAATTGATAGTATTGATGTTACTGAACACAAGGGGTTCGTTCCACAGCCAATTGCCAAAAAGATAAATGAATTGCAATATCCATAAGCACTTTATTACAGATTTGTGGAGGACACCAAGCTTTTATACTAGGGTGAGACACCAACTTACATAACAATAAACTTTTGTTAATAAAATCAAAGAATTTCTATATCTGAAAGAAATCCATTCACAACCAGATACTCCCTTCTCCCCTCCCCCACAAACAGGCAGAATAAATTACAGTTTACATATGGTTGGGGAAAACAGTTTCAAAGAGATAACAGCTAATCTAGGAGATGCATCTCCTCTTCTGATAAACAGATTAAAGAAAGGACACTAAGAACTCGAAGGTCAAGCAATTAGCCTTTCAGGTTGGAGAAAACTGATGCCAGTTTTATAACTATAGTTCCATAACTGATACATACATAGAGAATTCTGAACTTATCAATACCATCCCATCATTGACTTGAGTCCCAATTTCTATATACTTCAGACTGGTCATTTATTAAGTGGAAATAATTCTAAAATCACAGTTTTACAGAAGATAATCAGAGTAAAAAGGCTTGGAAAACCATAGATTTCTCTAAAAACTCCAATGATATAGTCAAATGTAAACTGTGATTGTGTTGATGATAATCAATGGTGATTGCCTCCTACCGTGTCTGCTGCAGACACAGGGACAGAGACCAAGGGAGAGAGATCATTAGGAGGATCAAGGTTTTTCTTCATGAGATAATAATACATGTTTGGTACATAATAAACGAAATGGTTGCCAGATCATAATAATCTTGTCTTTTTTTTTTTTTTCTTCCAGACCCAAAATATGGAGCTGGCATATATTTCACCAAGAACCTAAAAAATCTGGTAGACCGGATCAAGAAAACTGCCTCCACAGATACGCTGATCTACATATTTGAGGCTGAAGTACTCACAGGGTCCTTCTGCCAGGGTTGTCAATTAAACGTTGTCCCCCCAGCATTGAGCCCTGGCGCCATAGATAGCCATGACAGTGTGGTTGACAACGTCTCCAGCCCTGAGACCTTTGTTATTTTTAGTGGCACACAAGCTATGCCCGTATATCTGTGGACATGCACCCAGAATACCGTAGCCACAGAATTGCTCATCAGAACAGATGACACTCACTATCCCCATGGTCATCAAGGGAGAGATCATCCTCAACAGACAGTTCTGTTGACTAACCCACATAGTATGTAACAACTGATATGGCTTTGCTTTAGAGAAACTAATCCAGAGAGTGGCTTAATTATACCAGATTTGTTATTTGCCTAGGCTGATTGGGCTATTAAGAGACCAGTCATCTCCTAGCATCTTCGTGCCTTTATCCTTGCTTTAATCTCTAAGGGATAGATTGGATAGTTTCCAACAAAAGCACCTTCAGTACCATTTCCTTTACCATAATCATAACAAAACAAAAAGTTTCATGTAATGCCGATTTTTTTAAAATATAGTCCAAGACTTATTTTTCAGAATAATGATTGTATAACAAAACAGGTCAGCAGGATGATTTTGTCTTTTCCAGAGAATCTTGTAAAGCATTTTAGATAGCAAAACAAATCACTTTTTTATTGGAAAATTCGTCAGTGATAATGGGTGATGATTGCACATGATTGATGTAATTAGTATTACTAAATTGTACAGTGGGAAACTATGTTGAACTGGCAAATGTTGTGTTAAATACATTTTTACAACAATAAAAAAAAATATACCACCTCTGTTTGAGTAACTGGCCCAGAAAAAAAAATATGTGTAAAATGAAATAACTCAAAATAGAAACACTTCAAATGACAGAAATTCTGTTAATATTCTTCTTTACATGGTAAAGCCATATAAGAGAACACCACTTGGGATGATGAGACTAAATTGTTAATTCACTATTCTTTGATCATCATATATATTTCAGTCATTTCCTGGGTGCTGAAGATAGGGTGCATATAAGACAAATATTCTCATACAATTTTTAGTCCAAAAGACAATTAAACAATTGTTGTTATGTGCCATCGAGTCGCTTGTAACTCATAGCGACCCTATGTACAACAGCCCTAAACTCTGCTCTATCCTGTGCCAATCGCACTGTCTCCCTCACTCCCATCCCGATTACCCCAGTCACTGAATCAATCCACCTTATAGAGGGCCTTCCCCTCCTGTGCTGTCCCTCCACCCTCCCAAGCATGATGTTCCTCTCCAAGGACGGGTCCCTCCTTACAACATGTCCAAAGCCTCAGAATCCTTGCCTCCAAGGAGCTGCCCAGTTTAACCCTTTCCAGGATGAATCTATTTGGTTTCCTAGCAGTCCATGGTATTCTCAATACTCTTCTCCAGCACCACAGCTCAAAGGCATTAATTAAACAATTACTACTTGGTATAACCAAAGGGAAGTTATAGGTAAAATAAAATAGGCTTATTGTTGCTAGAATTTCTACTTCTTAGATAAAGCACTTCCTTTAGTTCTGGTCTGCCCAACTACTAATGGAAAGCTGAATTGGCAAAAAACAAGATGTTCCAGGAATGTCACAGGAAAAGAGCTGACCTAAGACTGCACCTGCAAGATAAGAAAAAGGCTCCAACAGAATACTACCCACCCAAGACTTCTTCATGTGATCTGCTGAACCCACAAATAATCTCTATAAAAAAACTATGAGATATCATCTTCCCCCTGTAAGAATAGCAAAATTCAGCAAACAAAAAAAATTCAAACAACAAATGCTGGCGAGGTT